CTCATCCTCGTTATCACCACTTGTAGAAGCGTCCGAATCATTTGTCCGAATCCTTGGATTAGCTCCAGGAATTTTAATTTCTGCTATTTTATCACAAATTATTTGTGCTTCCATTTCCATTTTATGAATTTTAATTAGTGTTTTATCAAATATACCTTTTTGTAGTTCACCGATGAAATTTATACATCTGTATCTGATAAACAAAAAAAAACATTAATCGCGGCCGTCTGTTTGCGAGTGAAAAAAAAAATGATTGTACTTACACATATCGGAATAAGTCCTCTTTGTCTTCCATGTTGTATTGTAATTTAATACATTTGGGCGTAATTTTACGCATGTGTTTGACCACAGCGTACATTTTCGCAGCGCTTTCTTTCATAGATGTTGCAGTAGTAGCTAGATTTTCAACGTCTTTAACTAACATGTCGCAGGCTTCCTCTAACAGTTTTAAGTCCTCCATTGCAAAAACGACTTTAACGGTAGCTCATAAATTGAGACTCCTTATATACTTATTAAAGAGATAATTTTTACGGTAAAAGTGTGAAAACAGATTTTATCTTCGAACGTAAGTTCCTGTTTTCCCTACATTATCACATGAAATTTTAATATATAAAGATCGTAAGTTCCTGTTTTTCCTCCATTATCACATGAAATTTTAATATATATAAAGATAAAGCATCTAATTTCACATATAAGTATATATATACATAAAGAAAATCTTTCACCCGCGCCGCGATATCAATTTCCGCTTACATTTTTACAGACTTAGCATGTAAATTAATGTGTTTACAAAATAAATTTCTCATTCGCGGCGCGATATCAATTTCCGAATGACCTCTCACCTACGTCGCGGTATATGTAGCGAATCTTCAGAATTAATATCTTGTATATATTATTACTTGCGAATATGTACTTCTTAATAACGTTTTTGAAGATCTCAAATAACGTTGTCTTACGAAGGGTTAATAAATAAATAAATATATATATATATATATATATATATATGTGAGCCTATTATAAGGCATGTAAATTAATGTGATTACATAATAAACTTCTCATTCGCGTCGCGATATCAATTTCCGAATGACCTCTCACCCGCGTCGCGATATCAAATACCGAATCTTCAGAATTAATATCTTGTATTTATATTATATGTATCATGAAATATTATTACTTGAAGATATTACGCTGTGTTTAAATAAATATATATAATATATTGCGAATATGTACTTCTTAATAATGTTTTTGTTTAAAGTCTATGTTTCATTGTACCGGGACGATGGTGGATATTATACAAATGCAACTTCATCATTGGCGCTAACGTCAAAGCGAAATCGTCACGTTCGCCTTGTCGACGCTCATTTTTAGCCTTTTACGAATTAACACCTTTACCGAGACCTCCCACCCGCGTCGCGATCGCTGAAAAAAAAAGGAACGCATCGCTCGTTACGTCGGTCACTCGCGCTTCGATCGGGCGGTGACGCTTATCGCTTCTCGAGGGTCAAGGGGTCGAGGTGGGAAACGTATCGTTATCTCTCGACGATGTCGCTCGCGCGCGTAATTACGTGCGCGATTATTATCGTCGTCGCGGTAAATTGTAAATCGAGTGAAAATGAGATTGCGATCAGTTATCTGCAAAAATATGGGTATCTGGATAACAGCGGTGCACAGCGATTTTCATCGTCCTACAACACCACGCAGGAGTTACATCGAGCCGTCTCACTGTTTCAAGAATTCTATCGACTACCAGGCGACGGCGAATTGAACGAAGAGACGCTGAATCGAATGGGTAAACCGCGATGTGGCGTCGAGGACATTTTGGAGCGCACGTTCGCTCCACTTTCGGACAAATGGCCGAGGAAACATCTCAAATGGAACTTTCATCTGGCCAACGATATAATCTTGAAAACAACTCGAGCCGCGTTCGATCTGTGGGCAGCGAATTCGTCATTGACGTTCGAGCGCGATTCGCTGAATCCCGATATTTTGATATCGTTTCGTGACGGGCGTCACGCGATGCTATACTCCCGACGAAACGAACCGTGTTCGTCTGCGTTCAGAGGTCCTAACGGAGATGTCGCTCACGCGTTCTTTCCCACCGGAGACCCCAATTTCGTCTCGGAGGTGCACGTAGACAAAGCGAAGACGTGGCACATACAGCTGACTAAGAATCCCCCGGGGACGTACAATTTACTTCAGACGTTGACGCACGAGATCGGTCACGCTTTAGGCTTGCCGCACACCTTCCGCGAAGATTCGATGATGTTCGCGTTCGTGCCTGAGAAGACATTCCCCGTTCAACTTACTCTAGAGGACGTTCTTTCCATTCAACACCTGTACGGCGCTAAAGAAAACGCTAAAGTTCCAAAAGTAATAACGACGACGACACCGACGACTACCACAACGACGACAACGATAGCAACGACGACTACGAAAGACGTCGAGATGGATCTGTGCACCTTGCGAATCGTGGATACCGTATTGATAACGAACGGTCGATTGTACATCTCGCACGAACGATACGTGTGGTCAATCGATATAGACGGGAAAACGTACAAGAAACCCTTGCTATTGACGGACTACATGAAATTTCTTCCTAAGAATTTCACGCGTCTGACGGCCGCGTATCAGACGCCCTCGGGCAATATCATGCTGTTCGCGGGCAATATGAGCTACATGATCACTTATCCGCGTCTAACGCTAGTTTCAACTTGGCCGAGATCTTACACAGATCTCGGAATTCCCGATACCGCCAGGAAGGTCAACGCCGTGCTGAACACGAACGAAGGACGAAGTTTCGTTATATACGACGATAATGTTGTGGGAGAGATAGACGATTGTTCGATGAATATCGTTAAGTACTACCACATCGACATGATATTTCTGGGAATACCTCACAGCGTATCGTCGGCCTTTCGATACATCGACGGTAATCTGTACTTTATCAGTAAAAACCGATTCTACAAATTCAACGAATTTACGAAAACTGTAACGGCATCCGGCAAATTTGATCTTGGGATCTTCGGTATTACCTGCCCGAGACAGGGACTGATGATGCAACTGCGAGATCTATTGAGTCGATTCGTTCGAATTGACGCGAGGGAGACGTCGAATAGAGAAAAGGAAGAATAGAACGATTCGACGTATCCCCTCCTTTACATATCACTCTTGAGAATGTTAATGAAAAGAGGGGGAATCGAATTTATCTCTTAAAATATATTTCGTCTCAATTTTCCTCGAACGACTCATTCTCGCGTGATCCGCCAACTGCACCGCGACAACGGACAAAAAAAAGAGAGAGAGATGTGTTCGACGTTACACGCCCCGTATTTCGAACAGCGCCAATCCGACGACGATCTCGAGAACGGCGTCGATAACGCGAAAAGAAGAAGAAGAGCAATTGACGAGCAATCGATGGAATTAGAGACTCCGTTTTTGAATCGGGACAACGTCGACTGCTGGAAAAACATGTGGTGAGTTCGCGACGATCCCGTATCGCTCGCCTACGATATAACAATAATTTTTTTTTTATTTTTAGTCACAGCAACGACGACATCAGTACATCGAAACGTGACGCCAAACGTCATCCGGTGCGAATTCTGGAAAGAAGATACCTATTAACTAAGACGGGGTATAAATTCATAGACGTCGGTATCACAGCCGTACTCCCGTGTTACATACACATCGTCATAGGAGATTGTCACGGCAAGGAGATCTCACTCTCGCCCGAAACGTGGAAGGAACTCATCGATCGTAAACGCGCGGTGTTGTCCCATCTACAGCGCGGAAAGAACGAGCGCGCTCCACCACCGATGTGCTTCGAAAACGGAAAACTAAAATTACGATTTAGCAAGATTAACACTCTGTCGACCCTACGCCTGGAAACGTCCACGACTCGTATGATCGTGTCGACGAACACCGTCCTCCTCATGTTCGACCTAGAACTTTGCGTCAACAGCCTCGTGAATTCGTTGCGCGCGATCATCGACACGATCGACGCGAAGCTGACGCGCTTCGTCGCTATTGCGGCCACCGTGACGGATCCCGCGAACGTCCCAAGAGCGATACGCGAGAGCGAATTCTTCGATCGCGATGACATCGTTGACTGCGAGTTAGTCGCTCTGTGCTTCGGGAATATTGAGAAATTATTGTAATCACATATTATTATTATTATTATTATTATTATTATTATTATTAAAAAAATAAAGAGAGAAAAAACCCCCCTATGGAATCTTGTTCGATTATTTTTTTCTCCTCCTCTTCTCCAATAGAATCACATACGGATAAAGGAAAAAGTATGACTGCGAAGGTTAGAGAATGATAAAACATATATTTTGTTTTTGAAATACACATAAGTTTACATTAAGGCGAACAAAAAAAATATGTATAGAACTATAACACCGCCGTTTTATTTATCCATGAGTTATGCGAACTGTTCATTCCTAACCACTTCACGTATACGTCGTCGCCTCGCCTGCGCAACACTTTCTCCACGAGATAAACGTCGGGGTCGGAAACTCGCAGCAACTCATGCTCGTAAAATCCTCCGGCTATCGGTTCCCCGCGGTAGTCTTTCAACGTCACAGGATTGGTACGTTGTACTTTAGCGACACGGAAGATCTCGGTAGTCCAGTTGGGGGTGTAGCCCTTTTCGAACAGCGTCTTGAATTTGCTCACGCGCACCGGATCGTTCACCCTAAATCTACCCGGAGCGGCGATCTTCGCGCGACTGTACACTGTGGACAAGAGCCTCTTGGCGACGGCGGGTGTCACGTCCACCGGTCGCATCCCAATCGTTCTATGCCTGCGGTGGTTGTAATTCGTCAGCAGACGGGGCAGCGCCTCGACCCACGCGTACGATCCGTTGAGCGTGAAGAGTTTCCACATGTCGTTCTTCAGCGTGCGATTGAATCTCTCCACCACCGACGCCTTCATCACCGAGTACGTCGAGTAGTGATTTATATCACGTTTTTTTATAATCTCTCGCACATTAGCGTTGTAGAACTCCTTTCCCTTGTCCGTTTGCAGATTCCTCGGATATCGCGCGTCCTTGCGAAATATCCTCGACAGGGCCGCGGCTACTTCTCTTCCGCTTTTGCTCTTGAGCGGTAACGCCCACGCGTACTTGCTCAACACATCGATAACCGTTAGTATGTAATAGTAACCCTTGTTGTGTCGCGCGTAGGGACGCATCTCGACCACGTCGGCCTGCCACAGATCGTCGTAACCGCGCACCACGACGCGACGTCGTGGGAAGTTTCTCCGCGCCGGTGCGTGCAGCTCCTCCACAAGTCTTCGCTTCTCGGCACTCATCGTTGCGCGCGTGTATTCCTCTCTTGACTGCGCAAAAAAAGACGGCTCATTACCTCCTTATTGACCTTTTCCCCTGTTACCGCGAATGTTCGCTATCTCTCTCTCGAACGATTCCTTCGTCACCATCGCTGTTTCAATCTCGCGGAATTTGGCTAGAAAATCGTTCATTGCGATCTGCGCGCCGAGTACCTGCCCCGTCTGCGTGGATTTAGAGTTTTCCAAGTTCTGTATCTGGTTTTCAATCCCCTCGAACTTGGCCAGAAACTCGTTCATCGTGATTCTGAGTCCGCTCATAACGTTGTTTTCAGTCTCCTTGAATTTGCTCAACGTGGTTCTGAGTCCGTTCACGTCGCCGTTTATCCTATCCACCTCACTTTTCACCGACGACAACGATTTATCGATCTCCTTTCCCAATTCTTGAAGCGCGCGTTCGACGTAACTCTTGTTCGTCGCGTCGCTGTCGATCTCCGGCGCGGCTAGACGTCGTAGCTTGCGCTCCCTCGCATCGTAGGAATCCTCGTTCAAGCAAAGCGCGCTGTCTCGTACGTAGTTCCGCAGGGAGTCGATAGAGAATCGCGATCTTTCCGTCGCGAATCCGCCGCCGTCGCCGCGTTTCCTCAGAGGTACATTCCGAATTTGTTCACCGACATTGCGCCGATCTCTCGTCGAGAAACGTACTGCCGTCGCGATCGACGCGACATCTCAATTTATAATCAATCCGATCTCGCGAAGCTCCTCGATTATCGACTGAATCTCGTTACCGTGCGCGTCGTTGCCCGCTTGACGAGAGGCCTCGAGTAATCGCAGACGATCCACCAATTCGTTAGGAACGTCCCAATAAACGTAATCCATTGTATTGTCGTTCAATTTCATAATCGACGGTAATCTGGTCACGCCAGCACCCTTTCTGTTGCTGCCGATTCTACCGCGCGATACCAACGGAGCGATGATTTTCGTGTATTTTTGTCCTCTGTTGCCCATGATGGGGTTAAGAGCATTATAATCGCATCTGTAAGCGTTTGTCGCTAACAGTATATTTCTGTATTTTTGCATGTCGTCCTCGGTGTAAATTGCACCATCGGGATATCTCTTGAAGATTAATTCGTACAAGCCGGGCGTGCCCGTGTATCTCACTCCGTCCACGATCAGGGAATCTTCCGCGTTCACCTTGAACTGTTTGTCACCGAGCATCGTGCCGTCATTCCCGACGTACACGCCGTAAACGATATCGAATTCATTTTCTGGGTCCCCGTTTAGAAGAGCGCCCACGTATCTTTGTCCCAACGGACCAAATTGACTATGCAGTTCCTCGTGACTCTGCGGCGCTTGTAGAACGTCCCTTACGGGTGTTTCGGGGGAGGGCAACGGCGACGCGAAAACATCCAGCTCCTCCCCCATCCGCTCGTGCAGCGATAATTTTCGCGGTTTCATAGGCGTGGAGTGGATCGGGAGCATCTCTGACTCAGCGCTCGTTTGTTTTTTCCTCTTCTTAGGTCTCGATATTATTTTTCGCGCGACTTTTCCTTCGTCGTCGTCGTCTTCGTCTTCGCTTTGCTCGCGTTTTTTTTTAATAACGAAATCTTTCGTCGTCGCCGCCGCCGCCGCATTGTCGTTCTTGGATTCGCCTTTTTCGACGTGTTCAACGATTTGTTTCAACGGGTCGACGATCGGTTTGAATTGTCTCTCGAGAGCCATCTCGTTCTCTATACTGCCAGTTTTCAACGCTCTGTATTTTCTGCGTATCGACGCGCGCGTTTTAGCGATCTGCCGCGCGGTCTTCTCTCGGTCAACGGTGTTTTTCGCGTCGCTCATCGCTCTCGGAACGTTCGACAGCTACTGGTCGCTCTACAGTACGGCAAAGTCGTTGAATCCTCGTTTGTATCTGCCGTTTTGTAGCGCGCTGTCCTTGTCTATCACCACGAACCCGTACCTGCGCTGCCAACACTCGCGACACAACGCGCAGAAATCTTCATACGACATATCGGGGCTCACGTGTTTTAGATTAGTTCCGTCTTGTCTAAACAGGATCAACAGATTCGCGTTGTCGCGTATTAGATGCTTCGGTACTTTAGCGTACGTTTGACAGAGGTAAAAACAATCGATATTTGAATGTCGACCCATGGAGAAGTACTCCCTGATTGCGTCCTATTTGTCACAGGCCACGTCGTCGAACACGAATATCGAACTGGGGAGCGCCTCGCTCGGCGGCACGACGTCGCGATTATTGGAGAACGCGCGATAACCGATCTCGTCCATCGATTCGAGCAGACTCTCGAGGTAACGATACTTCGGCTGATGGAGAGATTTCGAGTACACGTATACGTTTTTGAAACGCAGACCGTGCGGACTTTCCAGTAAGCTTATCAACACGTTTGTCTTACCGCAATTGGAAGGACCGCAGATGACGCAACGTATCGCAATCGGTAAAAGAGGACCGTGTCGACGCATTTCTCTCGACGTTAAACCCGACGTCAGTCGCGTCTTGCAATCGAGATTCGACACTCCTATCGCCGACGGTTGTCTCACGAATCGCATTGTTACGCGCGTGCGCGCACACTTGCCCTATTTATACGTACGTTCGATCGGTATACGCCCTCAGTTATCGCGATGTTTCTCGTCCTGGCGGATAAACGCGATATTCTCGGTCTGTCCGCCGAGCAACTGAAATTCGTGCCGAAGATTTTTCTGCTGCGCAACTTTTCCGATTACGTCGATCGACTGTGGGACAAATTGCCCGTTCATCTGAGGACGGATCCCGACGTACGGGACTGTCGTCCGTGTTTGGAACATTACAATCGTCCGTGGCAGAGAACGCACAT